TTTCTTGTTGATTTTTTTGAGTTCTAGATAGATTCTGGTTATCAGCCCTCTATCAGATGTGTAGAGAGCAAATATTTTTTCCCATTCTGTGGGCTGTCTATTCACTCTAATGATAGTTTCCTTGGCAGTGCAGAACAACTTTTTAATTTGTTAATCTTCTGTATAGTTTCCCTGTTGTCAATTTCATTTAGTTCTGATTTGATATTATTAATTTCCCTTCTTCTGCTGGGTTTGGTGTCGGTCTGTTCTTCTTTTTCCAGTTCTTTGAGTTGATTCATTAGGTTGTCTGTTGGTCATCTTTTTGACTTTTGGATATAGGTATTTATGGAAATAAACTTTCCTCTCAGGACTGCTTTGGCTGTGTCCCACAGATTTTGATAACTTGTGTCACCGTTGTCGTTTAGTTCAAAGAATCTTTTAATTTCCATCTTTACTTCCTCCTTTATAAAGGAATCGTTCAGGAGAAAGTTGTTTAATTTCCATGACTTTGTGTAGAGATGAGAGTTTCTGTTGGGGTTGATTTCTGTTTTTATTCCACTGTGATCTGAGAAGATGGCATGATATGATTTCTATTTTTTTAAATTTTTCAAGACATGCTTTGTGTCCTAGAATATGGTCAATCTTAGAGGATGTCCCATGAGCTGATGAGAAGAACGTGTATTCAGTGGTTTTGGGGTAGAATGTCCTGTAAATGTCAGTCAAGCCCATTTGTTCTAGAGTTCTGTTTAAATCCATTATTTCTTTGTTAATTTTCTGTTTGGAGGATCTGTCCAGTGGTGTCAATGGGGTGTTGAAGTCTCCAACTATTATGGTGTTGCTGTCTATCAATTTGTTTAGATCAAGTAAGAGTTTGCTTTATCAATCTGGGTGCACCTAAGTTGGGTGCATACATATTTAGAATTGTTATGTCTTCTTGTTGAACTGTACCCTTCACCATTATATAGTGACCCCCTTTGTGTTTCATTACTTTTGTTGATTTAAAAACCAAGTTATCTGAGATCAAAACTGCCACACCAGCCTTCTTTTGGCTTCCATTTGCTTGAAATACTGATTTCCACCCCTTTACTTTGAGTCTAAATGCATCCTTGCAGGTTAGATGCGTTTCCTGGAGACAGCAGATGCTTGGCTTGTTTTTTTTTTATCCATTCGGCCAGCCTGTGTCTCTTGAGAGGGAAATTCAAACCATTCACATTTATTGAGAGAACTGATAAGTGGGGTGAATTACTGTTCATTCTGTTGGGTTGCATTTTGTTGCTTTGTTTTCTATCTTGAGCCATTGTGGAATCTAGCCTTTGATCTTTAACTTTTGAGTGGTTTTACATTCGAGAGTGTTTATCGTGTTGATCCTTGTGTAATTCTGTTTTGAGTACTTCTTGGAGAGCTGGTCTTGTCTTGGTGAATTCCCTCAATCTTTGCTTATCTGAGAATGTCTATTTCTCCTTCATATATGAAACCTAGTTTTGCAGGGTACAAGATTCTAGGCTGGGCATTATTCTGTTTCAGAAAAGTGAGAATGGGGCCCCATTCTCTTTTTGCTTGTAGGGTTTCAGTTGAGAAATCTGGAGTAATTCTGATGGGCTTTCCTTTGTATGTTACTTGTTTCTTTCACCTTACAGCTGGTAGAAGGGCCTCTTTAGTGGCTATTTTGGTCAATCTGATGACTGTGATGTGGTGTCTTCCTATTTGCATTGAATCTCCCTGGGGTCCGTTGAACTTCTTGTACTTGTATATCTAGATTTTTAGCAAGGCCTCCTTTATTAATTCTTCAAATAGCTTATCCAGCCCTTGAGTGTTTTCTTCTTCACCTTGCGGAATCCCTATCACCCTCAGGTTCGGTTTTTTCACATAACCCCACATTTCTTGTAGCCTTATTTCTTTTCTCTTAATTTTCTGCTCGATCTCTGTGACTGACTTATTTAATTGGAAGGCGTTGTCCTCAATCTCTGAGATTCTTTCTTCTGTTTGATCTGCCCTGTTCTTGAGGCTTTCCACTGTGTTTCGTAGTTCCCTGAATAAGTCCTTCATTTCCAGGAGATCGGTTTGATTTTTCTTTAATATTTCAATTTCTTTAGTGAATTTTTCTTCCAAGTCCTGGATTTTTTTTGTGGTTTCTTTGTGTTGGTTATCCATTTTTTCTTGCATATCATTCGGTTTTCTTGCAATCCATGTTTGAAATCCTTCTTCTGTCATTTTAGTGTTCTGAGTTTGGTTAATGTCCATTGCTGGGGAGCTGTTGTTCGTCTTTGGGGCTGTGCTTTTGAGTCTTCATACTTCCAGAGTTCTTTTCTGGTTCCTTCCCATCTGGATCAGTTGTTCCTTCTTGCCTTTAGATTTTCGTTTGGATAATGACACACCCTGTTTAGTCTCTGAGCCGGTAGGTGGTGTTTGTGGGTGAGATTCGACCACACCCTTTATGATGAATCAGTAGATGCAGTAAAAGGGTGTGCAGGATGACCTTCCTGTCAGGAGGTGGCACTTGCAGGGAGGAGCGAGCTGCAGTGCTGTTTTTGGGTCCTGTAGCTACCTCTTGTTCCTCTAGAGAGGCCCTCTTGTGCCTAGGGTGGTGGGTGGGGCCCTGGGACTTCCAGGTGTGTCCTTATTCTCCACCTCAGTGGGGGCAGGATAGGGAGTGAGTCTGGGTGGGGCTGTGTTGGGTAAGCCTGTCCTGAGGCTCCACAACTGCTGTTAGCAGGGGTCAAAGGTCTGCTCTTTGTTTCTGTGCAAAGCTGCCGGGTGGGGCTGAAATGGCTCCGCTCAGCTGAAAGTCTGGACTTGGCAGATGGGGCTGTCCAAGACCCGCACTCTGGAGCAGGTCTCGCTCCCCTCCACCCTTCCCCTTTCCATGGCCTCTCCCCGGCCTCTGCCAGCAAGCGGGACCTCAGGCTGATGAATCTCCCCTGGCTGTGACGTGGGCCGGGAGGTTCCCTACCCAGGATCGCAGCCTGAGCTGGGTGCACAGCCCTCTTTTGGGAGGAGGGTTGCCGGTCAGGCATGCTGATCTGCCCCTGAAGGCACACACTCCTCAGTAGGCTCTTTCACAGATCTCTCTTCTGTGCCCCGGGGCAGTGTGATCCTGACCTGGGTGTACGGGGTCTGGTCTGCAGTCCTGTCCCCTGGTCCCTGGAGATCAATCCCTGACCCTGCCAGGGGGAGGGATGCTGGTCTTGAATCAACCTACAGGGTGCCCAAGCTGGATCTATTTCACTCCACCTCGGGATTTGCCCCACTCTCCTGGAGTCCCCAGGCAAGTAGCACCTGGGAGGGCTGGCGGGTAGGGAGCTCCCAGTCTGAGTACCCCTCAGTCTGCTGTAGGGCCCCAAAAGGAAAGGTTCCGTTCCTTGGAGATGCCTCCATGTGATGGCTAAATTGTCTCTCTGCGCACCCCCGGGTAGGGAAAGGGAAGGAGAGAATGGAGCACTATGGCGTTTGCCGCTAGGCTCGGGTCTGCGCCCGGAGAGGTGCCCCGAGGGGGCTGGGAGCCCGGCGCTGAGTCCGCAAGAGGCCATTGCTCACTGGCAGCAGCCGTCTCTGGGCTGGTGTCGGCAGGTCTCTCCAGCCGCTCAGGAGCCCACTAGCAGTCCGAGATGCAAGGGAGGGGGAAGTTAACCGCTCCACCTACCGTTGTCGCTGGTCTCCAATCCTCTCGGGACCTTTCTCCTTCGCGTTCTCCTTCACAACGTCTTCCCGTGGAGTCTCCTATAGTTTCAGGCACCCTTCCTTCCGACCCTCACCCGATCTGTGTTTCCCTGCTAGTTTATTTTTTTTTCTTTCTTCTAAAATTTTTCTCTTTTGCAGAGACACTCTGACTGGTGGCTTTTCTCATCTGCAATCTTGGCTCCTCCTAGTTTTTTGATGTAGGCACATCTATAAACTTTCCTCGTACCACTGCTTTCTCTGTATCCCATAGGTTTTGTTATGTTGTGTTTTCAGTTTCATTTGTTTTGAGAGCTTTTTAAATTTCCTTAATCTCTTCATTGACCCATTGGTCATTCAGGAGCGTATTGTTTAATTTCCATGTGTTTGTATATTTTCCAGTGTTCCTCTTGTTATTGATTTCTAGTTTTATTCTGTTGTGGTCAGAGAAAATACTTGGTATGATTACAATCTGAATTTTGTATTTTTGAATTTTTAAGACTTGTTTTGTGGTCTAACATATGGACTACCCTTAGAATGATCCATGAGCTGAGGAGAAGAGTGTGTGTTCTGTAGCTGTTGGATGAAACATTCTGTAAATATCTATCAGGTTCATTTCATATATAGTGCAGATTAAATCCATTGTTTCATTGTTGATTTTCTGTCTGGATGTTCTTTCCAATGCTGAAAGTGGAGTGTTGAACTTGAACTCAGACCAAATATTTCTCTTTACTTTTGTTGTCTCACATATTGTCATAACTACCCAAAATTATTATTAGGGCCCTTCAGCAGGAATAATTAAATTGGTGTTAACTTATTCCCTTTTTCACCTTAGCAGGGAAAAAATATGTTAAGAAAAGGGATTTTATTAAAGTAGATTGGGAATTTGCCAGCATTTGGGGCTTTGGGAAACTTTTATTTAAATCCCAAAGAAAAGTATTTAGTGAAAATAAATAATAGATGTTTCAAATTTTAGTGTGTTGCGTATTAGGAAAAAAATGTATCCCCCAAACATTTGCTAAAGAAAAGCATATTAACTAAAGTTCTTATTTTATTTATTTATTTTTTGTTGTTTCATGTTTGCTGTCCATTAGGCGTCCTAAGGGTTCTAAAATAGCTCCTAATAGCTATCCATACTTTTCATCCTGTTTTCTTAGGAACTCTTGTTGATTTTAAATATTTTGTTTTTCATTCATACATATGTATCATATATAAGAGCCCAAAATGGGGCTTTAGATTTTTTGAGTAGTAATCTTCATAGTTCTTTCATTTATGCTTTGTTTCTTTCCTTCAGGTAGCAAATTATGGAGTTGGGGGACAGTACGAACCTCATTTTGACTTTGCACGGGTAAGTAAAAGAAATGGAGAATGTAAGAAATCTGCTGAAGTTTAGGTATTATTAATACATTGTTAAAGAAAAAATTATTCATGATACTTGTTAAAGATGGTAAGTCAGGCTTTATTCAAGGGGGGTGGGGACATTGCGATAGGTTTAGGGACCACTGCAATGGAGTTTTGCAGTGAGGGAAAGAGATTAAGCTCAGCTCCAAATACAACAAGGAAAAGTGGGAATTTATAGCCAGTGAACAGAGGTGGGGGGGTCAATAGATGGAAAATTGCTAAGAGGTAAGGGGGGCTTCTGGCTAAACTGACCTAACAGGATTCTTGCGGAAGTCAGGGAAGGGCGATCAGACATCACCCCCGAGATAGAGGAAGATGAGGAACCCGATTAGATATTGGGGGGAAATCAGATATCAAGGATGGGAAATTCTGGCTAAACTGACTTAGAATTCTTGATAAAATTGGACAATGCAGAGATGAACAGAGGCCCAAAAGTCAGGGCCAAGTTGAGAAGAGAATTCAGAGGCGCCTGAGTAGAGTTTGGTCAAAGAGAAAATCTTTGTCAACATGTTAATTCTGTTCTTCTAGCATTAAAATTTCATAGCCTATTTGGAATCTGTGGAAACATGGTATAATCACAATAGATAGCCTGTGAAGCCTTTTTAGCAGTCAAAGAAACACCTAGATACCCAATGAAAGTATTTAAGATACTTTTAAATGCATTGGTGAGCCTGGAAGAAAGTAAAGGATATTCCCAAGGGCAAATTGAACAAAGATGGAAAACCTAGGCATTAAACCTAGAGAGTTAAGGGGGACAAAAAAGCTGAGGCTGGAGGCACATGCCTCCAGGAATCTAGAGCTTTGGGGATTAACAGCTCTGTGAGAGGACCTGCCATAATTAGATTGCTGAACCGAGACCTCTGCATAAAACCTAAATCTCCAGAAGGATTACACCTTCAGTGAGATAAAGAATGGGTTTGAAAATAATCTGCTTTGAGGCTGGAACCTTATAGAAAGCTGTTTCCATCCTGGCTGGGGTGTGGGTAGTGTGTATGGGGAGCTGCTTCTGGGAATTTTAAAGCATGGGCCTGCCCTTACATGAATCTGGTATTTGAAGTTTTACTACCCTGGAAGAGGAGAAATTAATTTAAAGTGGTTCAGTTTGGTAGTGCTCCTTGATACCTGACAGAAACAAACTCATATCCTCCCTGGAAAGAAACGTCCTATTTCTAACACCTCAGCTAAATATGAACTCATACTTTTAAGAAATTACTAACTGGTAATAAGAAACCATTGGTGAGACTGAAGCAACCAACAGATTTAGACATCCCCAGGATTTTAGAATCTGTAATTATCAGATAAAGAATGTAAATATATAATATTGGCCAATAGATATGAAGAAATTATAGGAATGCATTTTGAGAGACAGGAAGATAAAAAACATAAAAGAGATGTAAAGAGACTGGAGAGTAGAAAGCTTAGAGAATAGGTAATAAAGCAATTCGTAAAAAGCTTATGCTTGCCAAGTCCTCTTGGCATAAGACTAATAATTATTGGTCTCTTTTTTACATCTTTAATATAGTTAGCTATAAATTATAGCATTACCAAATCTTAATTAATTTAAACTTTATCTAATTACATAGAATTCTAAGGAATGTGCTACATATTTCCACAGAGTTGTTGATCTATTACCATTATTCAATAAGGGTATTCTTTTGAATGAAAACATTGACTGTATTGTGTTATAGCTCTTTACTGGCTTAATTCCAAAGTTCTAGGCTCTTTTTCTGTGTAGACCTGCAAAGAATATATTTTTAGTCTCTTTTCTTTCCTTATTTAGTTATTGAAAAAAAAATGTGTGAGGGTCTTTAATGATATGAAAGACTGTACAGTTAAAGCCCTAACATTACAAAATGAAATTGCATTTTTTTAGCTTTCGATTTTGAAGTAATTATCAATTCATAGAAAGTAGCAAACAAATGCACAGAAAGGTCCCATGCACTTCTCACCTAGCCTCCCCCAATATTAATATCTTGAATAACTATAGGACACTATCAAAACCAGGAATTGGCAATTGGCACAATCCACAGAGCTTATTCATATTTCACCAGTTATACTTGCACTCCTTTCTGTGTGGCTCTGTGCAGTTTATTACATACGTAGCTACGTGTAACTACTACCACAGTCAAGATAGACCACTGTACCATCACTACAAGTTTCTTTTGCAGTACTGCCCTGTAGCTGTACACAGCTTCCTCCTCCTCTTCCTGCTAGTAACCAATATCTGTTCTTCTTTGCTATGTTATTTCACATTCTATAAATAGATATATAAATATGTACCCTTTTGAGATTTTTTTTTTCACTCAGTATCCCTTGAGGTTCATCCAAGTTATTGTATGTGTCAATAGTGTGTTCTTTTTTATTGCTGAGTAGTACAGATTGAGTATCCCTTTCCCAAAATGCTTGGGAGGTCAGGTGCTATGTCTCATGCCTGTAATTCTGGCATTTTGGGAGGCTGAGATGGGAAAATCGCTGGAGGCCAGGAGTTCAAGACCAGTCTGAGTAACATAGCAAGACCCTATCTCTACAAAATATAAAAAAAATTAGCTGGGCATGGGGGTGTGCACCTGTAGCCCCAGCTACTTGGGAGGCTATGGCAGGAGGATCACTCGAGCCTAGGAGTTTGAGGTGTTCAGTGAGCTATGAGGATGCCACTGCGCTCTAGTCTAGGCAACAGAGTGAGACCCTATCTCAAAAAAAAAAAAACCCAAAAAACAAAATACCTGGGAACAGAAGTGTTTTGGATTTAGGATTTTTTAGATTTTGGAATATCTGTATACATAATGAGATATCTTGGGGATGGGACTCAAGTGTAAACACAAAATTCATTTAGGTTTCATATACACATTATACACATAGCATGAAGGTAATTTTATACAATATTTTTAATAATTTCACACATGAAACAAAGTTTATGTCAAGTACTTCTGTGTGGAATTTTCAACTTGTGTCATGTCGGCAGTCAAAAAGTTTTAGATTTTGGAGCATTTCAGATTTTGGCTTTTTGGATTAGGGATGCTCAACCTGTATTCTGCTGCTGTATGGATGTACCACAGTTTAGCCATTCATCCATTGAACGATATTTGGATAGTTTTTAGTTTTTGGCTATTACAAATAAAGATGTATGCAAACTTCTGTGTGAAAAATACATTTTCATTTTTATGGGATAAATGCCAAGAGATTATACTGTATTTTAATTTAGATTTAAATATCTAGCTATGAATTCTCCAGCCTTATTAAAGTGCTGACTGTCCAAAAGACAGTCATAATAGCAATAAATACTTGAGTGGGTCATGAGTTCAAAGTAAAATTTCAAGGCAAGTTTTTTTACCCACAGAGAATAAGCTTCATGAATATAGCTAAGAGGTGGCTCTCATGTCCTGTTTTTTGGAAGCTAAAATTGTAGGTGTTAATTTTTTAAAAAATCTATACGTAGGAGCTATTGGCTCTCATTCATTCAGGCTAACAAATCTGTTTTTTCCCCCCAATGGTCATATCAAAAATATCTGGTATACAAGTTAATTCAACAAGCATTTGAGCGCCTGGTGTATATAGTACACTGGACATTATCAGGGAACATTTTGGAGCTGTTTTTGGTATATTTTTCAACATATTACTAGTGTGTATAGTTGCCACTGGAGTATTTGCATTACTCAATTTTATACCATTGAATTCACTGTGTTTTATTCACAGAAAGATGAGCCAGATGCTTTCAAAGAGCTGGGGACAGGAAATAGAATTGCTACATGGCTGTTTTATGTAAGTTATGGCTAAAATTTTTATTTTAAGTTGGGACTTGATCACATTGTGATGTGTTTAGTTAAGTTTGTTCTGTGTAGCTCTTATAATAAGCATCCTAGTTTAAAGTTTTTACAGCTAAGGGTGTTAAGAATATTTTTGTATTTGTAACTTTTTCAGGTTGTATTATAGATGTTCATTGTAGAAACTTTTTAAAAAAAAAACCTGAAGAAAATTAAACTTATTGAGTTCTACTACTTGGAGACAATCATTAATATTTGGGAACATGGACTGTTTAGTCATATATAATATATGTCTATGAGAATCTGTATAGTTTTATTTGAATTTCTATGTATACACACACTATTTTAGTAAACTTTTCTGAATTAAATTTTTATTGAAGTATATCACATATCAGAAAAGTACACAAATCATAAGTATATAGCTTCATTAATTTTCACAGTGTGAACAGATATGATGTCATCAGTACTCAGATCAAGAAATAGCGTAACAGGCCGGGCGCAGTGGCTCACACCTGTAATCCTAGCACTCTGGGAGGCCTAGACAAGTGGATCGCTCAAGGTCAGGAGTTCGAGACCAGCCTGAACAAGAGCGAGACCCCGTCTCTACTAAAAAAGAGAAAGAAATTGTCTGGACAACTAAAAATATATATAGAGAGAAAAAATTAGGCGGGCAGGGTGGCGTGTACCTGTAGTCCCAGCTACTTGGGAGGCTGAGGCAGAAGGATTGCTTGAGCCCAGAAGTTTGAGGTTGCTGTGAGCTAGGCTGACGCCGTGGCACTCTAGCCCAGGCAAAAAGAGTGAGACTCTGTCTCAAAAAAATAGCATAACACCCCAGAAGCCCTATCAAAGGAAACCACTCTCTCATTGTTTAAAGTTTCAAAACAGTATTAATTTTAAAAATTGTATATACATACAGAAACAAGTTAGGTTTTGATCATAATATTTGTTCAGTTATCTATTGCTATGCAACAAATCACCCCAAAACTGAATGGTTTAAAATAATCTTTTTAAATTATTTCTCATAGTTGTGAGGTTGACTGGGCTAACCTCATAGTTCCTGCTCCAGATCTGTCATGTATTTGCAGTCAGATTTCTGGCACTGGGGTCATCTTGAAGGCTGAAGTTGAGGCTGGGTATTGGCCAGAATATCTAAATTCTGGTCGACCCATGTGGCCTGCGCTTCCTCACAGCATGGTGGCTGGTTTGCGAGAGCAAGCATCCCAAGAGAACAATGCAAAAGTACATGGCATTTTTATAACCTACCCTCAGAAGTCACAGATATCATTTCTGCTGTATTCTGTTATAACAATTATAATAAATACAAAGGTCTGCCCAGCTTCAAGGAGAGGGCATATAGACCATATTACTTGACACAAATGTCAGTATCAACTAAAAAGAGCATGGATGATGGGGCATTTTGAGATGTATTATATTTGGAAAATACAGTATACTGTATTATTTTAGCCTTTGTTGACTTAAAAAGATGTATTTTATATCTAGACTTAATTTTGCTTATTTCATTGATCTTTCCAACCCTTACCCCCATTTGAGTTATATAAAACTGTATCTCTTTTTGCTGTCTGTAATATCTTACACTTCCTACCAGTCTTTTTCTCTCCCTGCCACCTTCCATTTATCTTTTCTTCATTCCTCTTTCCCTTCTTCCCTTTTTCCCTTCTTGTCTATATTCATCCCTCCCTGTCTCCAACCCACCTTCTCACCCTCCTACCTTCCCTCCTTATCACTCTTCTTCCTTCTTCATTTGCATCTCTCTCACAACTCCACCTTGTTTCCAAAAGGATGTAAAGTACATTACAAAGATTCATATAAAATAAAAATGAGAGAGAAATATCACAAAGGGAGATGCAGGAGAGAAGTTGGTACAGTATACATACAAATTCATGCTGTGAAGGCTCGTGTGTTTTCTAGAGGTGAGCTGTCGATAGAGGTGGTACCAATAAGTGTGATATGTTTGTGAAATACATTTGTCAAACTTTTTGATCTGTACATCTTTCACTTATCAGATCGGCACTTATTGTGGCTTTAATTTGCATTTCTCTTATTAGAGAAGTTGAGCATCTTTTCAGATGTTTAAGAGCCATTAGTGTTTCCTTTGTTTCTGTATTCCTATGTTTCCGTTTCTCATATTTCTTTGCTTGTGAATATTAATGCTATATTATTTGGTCCACTATACATAAATGTTAGATTTGTTAGATTATTTAATATTTCCCCTTCTTAATGAACGTATCCTTCCTGTTTTCCTAAAATAGTTCTATAGCATTTTAATTAGATTAGTATTCATTTTTCCAATGTTGAAATATTATTCCAAAATGGGATATAGTATATTATATAGTATTATATACGTAATATATAGTATATATTATAGATCTACTGTGTGCTCCATTTATATCCATAAAAGTCATGCGTAACTTTTAAATTTCTCTAATTTTTTTCATTGCTTAAAAGCTCTTAGCTCATTATTATTAATTATATATTTATCATTGTAAAATACCCTTCATCTCATTTAATGCTTTTTATATTTATTTAAACTGTCTCCTATATTAAGATCATAACCCTGTTTTCTTTGGGACAGCATCTTATCTTTTTGTTTTCAGTGTTTGCGAGTCACTTGTTTTAGATGCAACTTGTTGATACACCAGATGGTTGGATTTTGCTTTGTGATATGATCTGAGTCTTTCTATACATTCTTTCTACTCGTGTCACTTTTTTAAAAATCTTTACTATAGGCCGGGCACGGTGGCTCATGCCTGTAATCCTAGCTCTCTGGGAGGCCGAGGCGGGCGGATCGTTTGAGCTCAGGAGTTCGAAACCAGCCTGAGCAAGATCGAGACCCCGTCTCTTCTAAAAATAGAAAGAAATTAATCGGACAACTAAAAATATATAGAAAAAACAAAATTAGCCGGGCATGGTGGCGCATGCCTGTAGTCCCAGCTACTCCGGAGGCTGAGGAAGGAGGATCGCTTGAGCCCAGGAGTTTGAGGTTGCTGTGAGCTAGGATGACGCCACGGCACTCTAGCCCAGGCAACACAGTGAGACTCTGTCTCAAAAAAAAAAAAAAATCTTTACTATATGATCTGTTTCCTTTGTTTTGTGCATGCACTTCTTCAGTTAATTTAGAAGGTTTTTATTGTAGGTTACTTTATGTAATTGTTTAATCTTCTCATTTTTAGTTAATATGTATTGACTCTCCACCATGAGAAATGATAAAACTTATTTTAGGTTATTTTTATTTTTCTCTTGGTGTTTATTTTGTGTAAATTTATTTAAATAAATATTTATTGAAAGTATCCCTATCTCCCTTCCTTTGTATTAATCATTCCTTTTTGTAGTATTTTACTTATGTATATAAATGGCATTTTGTTTTATTTTTGAAAAACTGAGTATTATACACAAACCCTGCTATGTAAGCATAAGTTCATATGTTCCCAATGTTCTAGTATTCAATATCAAATCCTCCTCACAATGGCATGTTTTACTTTATTTTACCAGCACTTTTGATAATACTCTCTCTATCTTACAGATGAGTGATGTGTCTGCAGGAGGAGCCACTGTCTTTCCTGAAGTAGGAGCAAGTGTTTGGCCAAAAAAAGTAAGCTTGGTTTATTATTTTTATTTTTTTAGTTTTTAAATTTTTCCCCTGAGGAAGAGATACCCCGTATTTCATGGTCTAATTAATTATATTTTTAAAGGTAGTAAGCTTAAGCGCTACATTATCTCTAGGTGAAATTTTGGGTATTTTTATGGCTCAGTTTATCATGAGTACTTAGAGGTAATGAGCAGGGATTAGTATTTAAAAGTTTTCATTTCTAAAATGGATTCCATACGATGTTTGCATCTGGACATTACAAGATTTTTTTTGCTTTGTATTGGCAGATACTCTTTTTGTCAAGGAGTTTTGTGGTATTCTTCACATCAAGAAAAGTTTTTAAAGTGATATAATAACATTTAAAAAATGATATTAGAGGAAGATATAATACTGCCATACAGGAGTCCTTCAGCAGGAACAGAAGAAAATTTAAGTACTGCAGAAAGCAATAACCTGACATTTTATTTGGGGATAATTTTGAATTGTTCTCCATAGGGAACTGCTGTTTTCTGGTATAATCTGTTTGCCAGTGGAGAAGGAGATTATAGTACACGGCATGCAGCCTGTCCGGTGCTAGTCGGAAACAAATGGGGTAAATATTTCTTGTATGAATAGAATTTGTGATTTTTGTCTCACATTTTGAAACTATTATAATCTATATCTTAAAACAACCCCCCCAGATTTGCATAATATGACTTTAACATTGTATGGGATTCAACCAAGTTCCTGACCTTAATATAAATTTGTATTTAACAGATCAGAATTTTGATGACATTTTATTTTTAACTCTATTTCTACTTATTAAGAAACATCGGCTCAAAATTGAATAAGACAATTATCTTCTGCTCAGAGGGTTAACAATCTGATTAAAACATAGTAATGGATAAATTATAGTGTAATACATATTAATACAAAAACGTACACAGAAGATAGTGACTCCCTAAGTTTGGGAAATCATCTTCAAAGCTTAATTTTTAAATTTGGTCCTGAAGATAGAACGGTCATTTTCTAGGCATATTAGGGACCAGGGCCAGGACTAGTGTGAGGCTAGAGCAGCACCTAGGGCACAAAATTTAAAGAGCCCACTCAGGGTCATGCTAGTACAGGATAGACCACATTAAAAAAAAGGTTAAAAGAAACAGTTGAAATTAGCTTTAATATTTATTAATTAGCTCCATACATCCATTTCTATATGTGTTTCTAGCCATATTTCAAGTGCCCAATTAGCCACATGTGTCTAGAGATTACTGGATAGGACATAGCAAGAATAAGGAGTGAGGCCTGATCAGGATTTAAAAATCTCCCCTGATGATAATGATAGCCTGGACTAAAGCAGCAGCGAAAGGATTGGAGAGCAGATAATAGATTCAAAAGACATTTAAGAAAATAGATGGGGTTTGGTGAATAAAGACTGCATACAAGGGTTGAAAATGGTAAAAGAGGGGTTAAGGTTCCTACTTGAGAATTTTGTACCTATTGATGCCATTGATTGGGTTCTTTCATACTAGAGATGAAGGAATAGAAAATTAATTTCTTTCGGGATACACTTTACATGGGATACATTTTTTTAAAAGTATCTTGGAAACAATGAGCGTATAGTAACAGTGATTTATTACAAAGTTGCTCCATTAAGCGTGGAGAGTAAATGTCTTCAAAGTACAACTCCCAAAATACAAAGACAGATAAAATGATGTTCTGCTATATCTGTACCCATTTATTTCTCATTTCAAGCCTCACATTGAACATTGGAAACTTAGGAAATGTACATAGACTTTTAAATATACATACACATGTTGACAGAAAAATGCTTAGTCAAGTTTTTAAGTAGCATCTGCCTTTATCTGGTTTTGGTCTTGAACTTTTAGCCTATTTTCAAACTTTGTTATAGAGCTGTCTATCTTTTAGAAGCTAATTAAATAGTAATTAGATTGGGGGAATTAATATATATATATTTTTTTCTCTCATAGTATCCAATAAATGGCTCCATGAACGTGGACAAGAATTTCGAAGGCCATGCACCTTGTCAGAATTGGAATGACAAACAGGCTTCCCTTCTTCTCTTGTTGTACTCTAATGTGTCTGATACACACATTTCCTAGTCTTAACTTCCAAGAGTTTACAATTGACTAACACTCCATGATTGATTCAGTCATGAACCTCATCCCATGTTTCATCTGTGGACAATCACTTTGTGGGTTTTTTTCCTTTTAAAAGTAACACTAAATCACATTATAAAACCTTAAAGTTCAGTTGGTATCACAGAAGACAAGGCAGAGTTTAAAATGAGGAATTTTTGTGTTAAAGAACTCTTTGGTTGGATAAAAAATATAATTTAAGCATCCAGTTTTAGTATTTTACTACATCTCGGTTGGTGGTAGGCTAGAATGGGCCATGTGATAGGAAACACATGCCTTACAGCATATATCTAGGTATTATGTTTACCTAGCCTTACTCTGTTTATTTTCTGGATCTGCCTGATAATTTAGGACTCTAATCTGGGTTCCCTACAATGTTTACTCTTTCCATACGATATTCTAAGTTGATTTTTTTTTTTTT